CACACAACAGACGGGTCCCCAGGGGAGGCCTGGGTCGGGGGGGCTGTTCTAGCAATCTCACGAGCCTCTCATCGTGTTAAACCCTTCCTCAGTTTCCCTATTAAGATCCTCTGGGGACCATCTAATATGTACACCCTCATACCGCTCTCAAATCTCTACTACGCATTCCTTTATACAACCTTTATGCAACCTGCCCCAAGTATCTCTTATATGCTCAAGTATCGTCTACGTCTGAACCCTATCAACTTTGTGTTTTTTATGTCTATCCTGCTGATATGTTTCCAACCTCACTCGTGCCTTATTTGCCCGCCCTCTTCTGAAGGCAGTAGGTTTCTCTTGTCTCATCATGGAGAGTCCTTGCTGAACACCTATGGCCAAAAAATAGGCCCCTTATTCTGAGTTAGACTAAAAACCTTCGCAAGTGCCTRAAACCAGATAGGCCATCCCTATTCTAATGTAGCTAAATCTACTTGAATCTTGTCCCCAGCCGTATATTCAACAGCATATTCAGCACTCAAATATATCCCATGTCCCTTCCTCTGTCATCCCCCCTTTTTTCCATTTTCCAGTTTTAACTTGCCCTCCCATTCCCGCACTACCCCCTACTGTCTACCCTCCTCTCTCTACTCCCAATTCCTCCCATTCCTTGGTAACCTATCTACCCTATCCCCAATCTATTCTATCGACTGACTGCTGCTTGTGTCCTCCTTTTCCAATCTGGGCACGTAGTGTTGCAGGGCTGGTCCAAACTGCAACTGTCCTGTAGTAGAGTCTTGCACCAGCATTTGCGGGAATGGAGCCCATCTCTGCCAAAAGTCTGCCGCCTTGGCCTCCCCTTAAGTTTTTACATTTTTTTTTTTATAACACTGTTACAGTAAGGTATATTCTTCACTCATATGCCTCAGACTACCTATCCTGATATGTAAGTCCAGTTTTTCCAAATGGTTGCAGTTATGGGTTAACCCTCCCTAATGAATCCCACCCTTCCGCTTGTTGCCGGGAGCAGTACCCCGGCTCCTAACACCTGGCACGAGCTAGAAAGCATCCCCTTCGCTTCCACAACCAGCCAGGAGGCCCAAGCCAATTCTCTCTGGGGTGGTGAACCCGAAGCGTATCACAGAGGCCGGTGGGGGATCTAATGGACGACGTGGGGAATCGAACCCACGACCTCCTGAATACCAGTTATATGCTCAACCAACTGAGCTAGCCTGCTTGGGCACCCTTTTTTTTTTGTCTTCATGTTATACATTCGTTGAAATTGGAACGATACTGTCCTTCGGGACGTCCGTTAAAATTGGAACGATACTGTCCTTCGGGACATCCGTTAAAATTGGAACGATACAGAGAAGATTAGCATGGCCCCCTGCACAAGGACGACACACATAAATCGAAAAATGGTCCAATTTTTTAATTAAAAAAATAAATAAATTGGAACGATGCAGAGAAGATTAGAATGGCCCCTGGGCAAGGATGCCAAATAAATCGAGAAATCATGATAAAAAAACCAAACAAAGTCATACAGACTCGTAGCCTGGGGACAAAACTTAAACAGGATCGAAGATACAAAAAGAGAGGAAGGGGGACATTTCTCAACAGCACACCTTCAGCCCCGCTCCTGTCCCGCTATACTTCTATGTTGGACAGTTGGACATTCCATGAGCATGCCATTTGGGAAAAAAATGAATATGCATATAACGGTATAAGACTAAAAGTTATAATGTCACACATGTCCTCTGGTTGTGATTGGATGTTTGAATCCCCATCCTGTTATGATCCTGGCCAATTTCGAAGTACACATTCACCAGAAAGTACAATGCCGCCCAATTGCAAAAAGAAATGAATGAACTTGAGAGGAGAGAGAGGGAAAGAAGAAGAAGAAGAAGAAGAAGAAGAAGAAGAAGAAGATGATGTACACCAGCATAGACCAATGATAATGCTCTTCTTCTTCTCCAACCACTCTCCTGCTCCTTTTCTCCTCCCCTCTTATTCGATAACAATGTTGAATGGCTGAACCAGAATCAATGTCCGAATCCCACTTCTACTGCAGGTATCACAGGAGGTCCACCATAGCCATGGCCACCCTTCTTTCTCCTTCCTCCAAGGCTGAGGCTATGGCGGACTACCAGGGCATCGCCCTGCTGTCCAAAGGACAACACAAAGCAGCTATGGCTGCTCTAGCTCAGGCCGCCATGCCTGACTCTGCCTCGAAGCTTCTTGGTGTAGCTACCCCAATTGGGGCCTTCCTGCTGCAGCACCAACCAGGGTGACGAAGATGGCAACCACCATAGCCAGGTAAGTACCTCTGGCGCTCCTCCGTGTCCGTGCTCCTTCCCCAGCAGTGCTGCTCCAAGTTAGCGCTGCTCCAGCCAGCGCTCCAACCAGTGTGTCGCCAAACTTGCACACCGACAATGAGGAGGCACACCTTGCTCCTCCTGGAGATATAGCGGCCTGCTTGCGTCTTGGCAAGTGACTTCCTGGGCCGCGTGCCTCCAAGCAACCAGTACCTCCTCCCTTTTGGAAGGAAACATCATTGCAGACTCTGATATTGCCCATACAGGCCCTAGACTCAGACTGGTTGGACTGGTACCCGCCTAGACCTAGCCTACAACTACTGGGCCTTGCAGACTCTGATATCGCCCATACAGGCCCTAGACTCAGACTGGCTGGACTGGTACCCGCCTAGACCTAGCCTACAACTACTGGGCCTCTAAACATGCCAACTTTTGTCTTCTTCTGCGCCTAGACCTAGCCTACAACTACTGGGCCTCTAAACATGCCAACTTTTGTCTTCTTCTGCTCGGCCTAGAGTACCTGGCAAATCTACCTCTACCTGGTGTGGTACCGGCCTACCTGCTACTTGAGTGTTTTCCCCTGCTTCAAGTGTCGCCGGCCTCTTTCCCCTCCACTTGAGTGTTTTCCGTGCTGCAACCCTCAATGTCACGGACGGGTAAGTACCGGCCCTTCGGGCCCTCTGAACGAACGAGCGCTCTTGCGGGTCACACACACACTCAAGCCAACAAGGAATCAGACAGGCATGCAGACCAGCAATCATGCACACACGCAGACTTAGAGAACTCAGCAACAAGCGGGAAACTCAGCAAGGCATTCATTCCATGAGCAAAACTCAGAAATCAGCTGTGTGTCTCAGTCCGTGTTTGGCAGGTCATTACAATCCTGTTTATCTTCAGTTTTCAAATTTTGTGTCCGTTTGGTTTATCCTGCTCCGCAAAAAGAATGGTACATAGTACAATGCACATACGTACAATTTTCTATCTTTTGTGTTTTTTGAAACGGTTTTCGCCTTTTAGCAGTAGCGGATGCAGTACCCAGGGTTCGATCCCTAGACCTCACCCTACCCATGTACARTATCTGTGTAGACCCCGAGAACTGAACCTGTGACTGTGTATTCGTAGGCAGTTGGTAGACCTGTCGTAGGTCCATAGACAGCAGGGGTTCGATCTGTAGGTCTATAGCGTAGGAGTCTTAGTGAGTTCTGGAAGCTTAGCTGTAGACCTTCTAGAAGGTAGGCAAGTGGGCAAGTGGTCAAGTGGTGAGGCAAGTGGTGGACTAAACCGCAGTGCAACAGCAGTGCAACAGCAGTGCAACAGCAGTGCAACGGCGGTAGGATAGCGGTGAGTCCACAGTCAGTCAACGGAAGGTCCAGTCAGTCCCAGTCCGGTCCAGCAAGTACCACAGGGGGACTGTAAGCACCAAGGGCCGATGGCAAAGGGCAGACCAACGAGTTTCTGAAGTATAAATCAAGAGGCAGCGCCCAGCCATTCATTCATTCCTGCGTGAGCCATGCGGAAGCGCTGCCACAGCGACTTGTGCAAGGAGGTCTGCAGATGAGCCCGGAGGACGCAGTGGGCAAGAGAGGAGTTAGCATAGCGATAGGCTAGAGGCAGCCATAGCTGCCATAGCTGTAGTTAGTAGTGAGTGTGTGTGTGTGCTCGAGTGTTAAAGTGATGCGTGTGGGATATCCAGGGTGATCCAGTGTATGTGAACAGTGA